TGAACTAACATACTGTGCAATTCATGCACATTCCATTTGTCTTTCATGGTATTATAGTTCATTTGGAAAGGACCATACTCAGACGGTAATGAGTTCAATACAAACTGCACCAGGAAGTTCTCATCCATAGCCATTCCCAATGCTTTTAATTTTGCCGCAATGCTTGTCATTTCAATAACATGCTCATGCATAGTACGCGAACAATCAAACTTCATGGTGGTCAGTGTACTCATAAGTGTCCCAGCAAGAGACTTATCAGCGGTTTGGGAGCGCTCTTCCACAAGTTTCATCATTTCGATGGCACTTTCAGTTTGTGGAAGAGCTGACTTAATGTTGCTTGCTATGCTCATTTTCATGTACATCAGACTTAATCTATTGGATCTTTCCCAGTTCTTAAAATGGTCTCTTTCATCCTCAGTGCTTTCAGGAGTAATAGCACTAGGTTCATCTTCTCTTAGAGCCAAATCTATATCCATTACCTCAAGGTAAAAATTGATTTGCTCTTTCCATTCAGAGAAGTTCAGCCCATTAAAAACTGCAACAGTTGAGAACATGGAATGTGTGGCAACCGGTACTACGAGGAATAATATTTAAAAAAAATTAATGCTTTGAGTCATACAAGTCACATACTAACATACTTCACAGATTCAAATATACTAACTTCAATGCATATCAATGTTCGCCTTTGGAGATCCATTAACATACAACATTAATTATAATGATGCTATATAAATTTCACATAATTTGGCAATGATGCATACCCCTATCATAAATATTTGTCATCTTTGGATGTCCAAATGCAAGGAAATATGCCAACAATACCAACATCCATGTTCATTTTATAAAACAAATAATCAACCTTTGGGTTGATCCCTAACTGTCCTATAATAATGAACTTCAATATACCACAACATGAATAATTATATCATACTATTCACAGCATTACAGTCATGGTAATTGAAATAAAATTCATAATATTTGAAATTAAAATAACTCTTCAAGATTTGGTCACTTTGGTGACTAACAAATCTTTGTCCATAATTAATTTCAAAATTTTAATATTTCATGAACAATAATAGGATTAAATTTTCACATTCAATTTTAATCCAACCACATCATATAATCATTCACGGTTTAGAAGGAAAAACAAAAAAAAATATTCATACAGTACCTAAAAGCCGATTCAATCAGTAGCTAAAACTATTATGGGTCTTCTTATTATACTTTAATGAAACCCACCGATTGAATTTTAAAATTAATGAGCAACAATACTGTATGCATATATATCGATTATTGACAAGTTGATAATACAAGTCGATTCAATCTCTTTGCATACAGTATGCATTATTTTCAAATACAAACCGAATGGCAATCTTTCCAACTTGCATAAAAAAAATTAAATGCGAAAACCGAGAAGCAAACTTTTCATGATGCACGGTTAACGAAAAAAGCCATTGAAGATGTGTACTGTAGCCATTGAATCCAATGGAAAATCAGGGACTTTCATTCGTTTTGTCCTTTTGTGAATACAAAGTCAATTTGAATTTTTCCTTCAAAACTCACGATTCTTTTCAAAATCAAATGTGGACACGAATGGCAGTGATTCATGAAACCAAATTGAAAACCGAATGGCTATCGAGAAGTAGCTTTAAGCATGATGATCGGGAATTTTCAATGATGATCGTGAATTTTTATTTTCAAAAATCCTAACTTTTCATGAACCAGAAATCCATTTATAATTATTTATGGAAAAAACATAAATTCTTAAACACATGCTCTGATATCACATGTAAGCAATTCATCAGTAATTCATTCATACATGTTCGACAGTAATCAATCAAGAACATGACATAGGATCTTTAGAATTCATGAGTTTCACATAAACATATCTTTGTCCATAATTGCGGAAGATCTTTAACAGTAGAATGCTTTCTCTAAGCCTTAACTCTTTCAACGTTCTTGTATCTTCTTTGATAGGGATATGATACAACTTTTCTAGGCAGACTCAGAAGGACATTTGTTTTTCTATCAGATACCCTTATATGAAAACTGATCATATAAACTATTATATAACTGGCCTATCACAGTTATTTCTAATTAACTTCCCTTAATGGCCAAAACGTCAATTATCATTAATGCGAAACGTTACCATAATGCAAAACGTTAAAACGTCAATTATCATTAATGTGAAACGTCAATTACCATAAAGCCTCTTTTATTATTAATTAAACCAATTCACACACATTACACATGAGACATAAATAGTTTTACATGTTTGAGAGAAATAAAACATGTCAAATGAGGTGTCATTGCGTAGATATCGAAAAGTTATGTGCAATCAAAAAAAAATTACTTGATTCGGATACCCGAGTCAATGGTTCAACCGGTTGGTCACGAGTTCGGATACCCGTCCGGTGGTTCGATGGTTCAATCAAAAAATTACTTGATTCGGATACCCGTCCGGTGGTTCAATGGTTCAATCAAAATAACATGTATATAAATTTATATTTTATACTTAATTATATAATAAATATTTTAAATTGTGCAATTGAAACAATAATTTGTTTGTGAGTCACGCCTAACTTAGGTGTGAACGAGTGCACTATATTTGTAATTAGGTTCAAAACAATAATTTTTTTGATAATTGTTTATTAAAAAAGTAATTTTTTTATTTTATTTTTTTGTTTGCCCTCGTGAAAGACTTATGAGGTGGATCATAAGAAGAAGGGCTCTGGCTTTGTTAGACATGTTAAAGAGAAGCAAAACTATAAAGAGCAATCTGGTCCAACCTTTGAATGTGATTAGGTAGCCTTATTTAGTGGTGTCAATCTGGGCCTGTTCCTTGTTGGCCCAGTTAGTAAATTATATGCCTATTGTCCAGTCTATATAGGTTGTTTGAGGTGGTTCTATTAATTACTTTATATTAAAGAAATTAAAATTAATTATGATTTAAAGTAGATAAATATTTATTTTATAATACATAAAAAAATAAAAAAAAATTAATAACTATAAGAATTAATTATGATAAATTTGGACTTACAAGACAACCCATATGCATATTAAGCCGAAATTATTTTTTGTCTTAATTTCTTTTATGTTAACCTACAAGCTTGATAGAGTTATTCAAGTTAGTCCATCATCATACTCGAGTCATTTTGACACATCTATCCTTACTCAATAATGCATTGATGTTCATTATTGTCTGAGAAAATTTATCTGCAGAAGAGTGGGATTAGGTATGATGAGGGAACATTTTTCTCTTTAAGGGGTCCCGAGTGGGCTTTAGAAAAAGTTTCAATAATAGGAGATAAAGTGAAGGGGGGTGTGGGAGAAACATTTTTTCGTTTGTCTCTTTAGGCGTATAGGGGTTACATCAATCACAAGAGATAATTTTATCTCGTTGATTGAGATTCATATGACATGCATGCTAAAAGTAAACATGACAGAATCGATTCTTTTAAATCTCTTTCTTATTTTATTAAATTAAAACAACAAATAGAAAACTGTCGAAATTTGTGTTTAATCCTTTATAACGAGGTAATTTATTTTTTAAAATTTCATAATTTAATTAAATTTTAAACAGTTTAGTATAATTTAAAAAAATTTAAAAGGATTTTTATGTTTCTAGTTGTTTTTAATTTAACTAAGTTTTTAATTAAATGTTACTAATTATAAAATTATGATTAAGTTCTTGAAATCAATAATAACAATAGATAATAGCTTCTATAATTATAAATGAGTTCTCACAGCTCTCTTGTTACAAGAGAGCCTTTCAAATTTTTACAGAGAAAATAGTCATGTAACAAGAAAACAAAAAGTTTTCCAGACACACATGAATTGAGAGAGAGAAACAAATGCAACGTGAAAGAAATAAAATTTAATAGACCCCACTTCAATTTTTGTGTGTGCAGGCAAACTTTTTGTTTTGTTGTTATATAATCGATATATTACCCTTATTATTTAATAAAAAAACAAAAGCACGTTTTCGGTGTTTGAACAGGAGAGAAAAAACTCTCATGTTTCACAAGATTCTATTTTCCCATTATAAATACCCCTTGTACTTTTTATGCAACTATCATTCTTTCCTTCCACGGTTACATGTCGAATATCTGTTCCGTTAGTTTTATTTTCTACGAAACACTAGAAAAATAGGAAAATGACTTATGTGAGAATTGTATATAAAAAAGAAAAAGTTTACATTTCTGTTATTGCAATATAATTTCTGTTATTACTAAAATTTTCCTTTGGAAAGTGGATCATGACTGTCTACCTACTAAAAGGAGATTGTCCATTTTTGGCTGGGTGATTCTGTTGAGATAAATTTTAAATGTTCGTTTTTTAGCAGTTTTGGTTTTTAGTTTCATGTATCAGTTAGAATATTAATGAGTCAGTTATGCCAGTTAGAATATTAATGAGTCAATTATGCCAGTTATAAAGTAATAAGGGTGTTATGTGTGGAGTTATGTTGGTCAGTTTTATAGCTTATAAATAGCCTTTGATAATTTGTATGAAATGTAAATCAAGAGAAAAAGAAAAAGAGCAAGAATAGAAAAGAAATTTTTTTTTATAGATACAGAAGTATGATTGTCTATTGCATCTGTGTGGATATTCAATTATAAAAGATTCTTTGTGCCCAATCTGCAAAAATGAAGTGGAAGACATGATGCATTTGTTGACCGATTGTTCTGTCATTATGGCTGTCTGAATTAGGCTTGCCCCTTGTTCTTGCAAGCTGTTTTTTTGGTGCTGAACTAAAGGACTGGTTAGTCAACAATTTAAATCAAAAAACTCAATTGTCTCTTGGCATCCCATGGGCCACTACTTTCGGAATTTCCTTTTTTTATATTAAAAACAGATATTATATTTTTAACCATAATTACACATATATTGATATATACTAATATCATTACAATATGAATATGTCAATAAAATAAGAAACGGTAATTATCAAAACAAGAATTTGGATTGAAATCAGCAATTTTAACCATAATACAAATTCTAAATTTCTAATATTGTGGAGTAATACAACAAACAATCATCAAATTGTCATCTTCCCCAACTTCATGATATAGAGTTGAATGAAATTGACCATATACACCTAGGATTACAAGGCTTATGTCCTACTTCTTCTTTCATGATTTATTTATTTATTTTTGCTAAATTTAAAAACAATACATCATTGAAATAAATTCATAACAGGATTACATGGTTTCAATACACTTCAATGAAACCTTAGACCGCAAGTATCACCTGGTTTCATAACATTTTGTGAGACAAACACCGTTTAACTAAGGATCATATAGTTTCATAACAGTTGGGAGACAAACATGGTTTAACCATAATCGCAAGTAGGGTGGCTTTGGTGTTGGTAAATTCAAAGGATTCAGTCATATCAATAGGTTCAGTAGATGGATTTAAGATATCAAAGGAATGCAAAAAACTGGCCAAAGTGAAATGAACAATACTCAAGCCAAGGGACATTCCAGCACAAATCCTTCTGCCACTTCCAAATGGTAACAACTCAAAATGATGACCCTTAACATCAACCTCTTTGTGAGTGGTAAGGAACCTTTCTGGTTTGAACTCCAATGGATCTGACCAAACACTAGGGTCTCTGTGGATCTTCCATAGGTTTGGCATTAGTCGAGTTCCCTTTCTAACATGGTAGCCACCTATAGTGCAATTCTCTGTGAATTCACGGGGTGATGAGATAGTGGCTGGTGGATACAATCTTAGAGTCTCTTTAACTATAGCTTGAAGATATACTAGTTTATTTATATCTGATTCACTAACACATCTCTCTTTCCCAACATGTGTGTTAAGTTCTTCTTTAGCTTTTTCCAATGTAAGAGGATTTCTCAATAGCAAACACATTGCCCATGTAAGGGTAACCGCGGTTGTGTCAGTTCCTCCCACAATCAATTCCTGCAAATAAGTTCAACTCCCTTATAAGAATAATGCTGCAATACTATCTCATAAAAAAGAAATAGAAATTCTGGATTCAATCCTTGGCATAATAGAAACTTCCTCATTTGTTCACAATTTTGATTTTCACAACTGCTTTCAAAACTCATCAACTTCCAACTTATTACTTAGAGTTCATGTAGTATCACTTTTAGCCACCTAATGATTCTAATCAGAGATGAGTTTCACTGTGATAAAAACTTTTAAAATATATATTTCAAACAATCCACATCAATATAAAATTCTAATCTTTTATATACAGAGTATTAGTTTAATTTAAGAATCTAATTAATAACTTTTCCTGGTTTCTTAGAAAATAGTATATAATCTCAAGTTGAGTTAAGCCCCCACTAAGGTGTGACTAAATCATAAACCACAAATACACAAAATCTAATTTTAATATCTAGTTAAGTCATGAACACTCCTCTTTCTTATGGATTATCATATATCCTCTAAAAAGACTACATTTTCAATGGATAACCTCTCTAGAAAAACAAATAAAAAGAGTGGTACATTTTAATGTGGGAAGTTCAAAAAAATGGAGAAGAGAGAAGAAAATCTATGATTGTTTTATAACTTGTAAGGGACTACAAAGTACAATATACATACCAATGTTGAGGCTTTGAATATGGTATCAGCATCAAACCCTTCAATATTCTGTGTGTCATCAAGCACCGAAAGCATCACATCCATGAAGTCTCGATCACCTATAATCTCTTCACCCAAAACCCTCTTCTGTCTGTGTTCCTCTAACCATTCACTTAAAGTTTTGTCCATTTCCTTTGCAGTTTCTTTCATGGCCTTCTCATACCCTCCAATATCCAACCATCTTAAAGAAGGAACACCATCTGCCACAGTGAAAGTCCCCATCAAACGCATGAACTCCCATATATTCTTCAGAAACCTCTCTGCTTTATCATTGTTGGCAACATCAGTAGCACCAAAATACCTCTTACCAACCACCATTCGGAGAACCATGTTAAATGTTAACTCAGAAAACCACTGTTTCAGCTCCAACAACACGTAGTTAGACTCATTCTTTCTGCTAGTAGACCAAACACTTAAGAGCTCTTTAATCGAAGTTTGAACTTCGGAGACACGAATGTGACTTAATAGCTTGATTCTACGATTTGATAGAAACTCAGAAGTAACAATCTTACGTAGTTCACGCCAATACGGTCCATATGGTGACCAACCAATGAAAGCTTGGTTGTAAGACATGCATTCACCAGCAACAAGTTTTGGACGAGATGAAACGGCAATGTCGTTTGTGGTGAAACATTCCTTAGCCATTTCCCAGTTGCTGAGTACCAAAGCTGGTTTGGCACCAAGCTTGATGGTGAATAAGGGTCCATACTTGTCAGCTAAGGCACCTAATGTTCTATGGGGTGTCTTTGAACTATTCAACAATGGAAGGTGACCAAGTATTGGCCATGCACCTGCAACTGTTGGAGCCTCTCTATTATGAGCAACTTTGGAATGATGATACAGACACAAAAGCAAGAAGATTATTGAAAGGAGTACTGCAAGTGCAGTGGTGTTTAGGTAATTTAGGAGTGAATCCATTTTAGCTAGTTGAGGTTGAGTTGCAGACGGAGAGAATGTTTGGTTTGGATGCAAATGATCCTGAAGTTCCTCTGTTTCCTTTTATAAGTATAGATACATGTCATATATGACATCATTTTTTGGACTATTGTATTCATAAATTTTAATGACGACCCTTTATAAAATATTCACAAGTTTTAATAAGATTCTAGTGTTTAATGTTTTAAGAAAAAATATTATTATAAAGTATTACAATGTTCTAAAATTGGCAATAACATAACTTGATGTGCAAGGATAAGATGCTGCTCTCAAGGTCAAATTTGACCGCTTACTTTTGTTGACCTACAGAGCAATAGCTTTTTATGACTCCACAGAAATATTGTATTATGAACCAAGTGTTTACAAAAAAATATCTACTAGCTAGCAGACAATAACATGACTTGATGAGCAAGGGCAACATGACTTGACGAGCAAGGATGAGATAATTTAGCCCACTTGAGACAAAAACGGGACAACGCGTCTAAGAGTGTGATGTTAAGTGTCGTTCACTTTTGTTTTCAAATTTGGCGGCTCACTAAATATAAAATATTATAAAGTTATTATTATTTTTTGTGGTCAGATCTTTTTCAAAATGGATACTTCAGAGTTCAACGTCTTTCTCACATGGATCGTATCTCTGGGAGTCTTACAGTTCTGCCAACTTTTATCATGTATTTCCAAACAGAAAAATCAAAGGATTCAATTTACAAAATGTTTAGGAAGAGCTAAACACTAACCAAATGATAGCCCCTTGGTCACACAAAATTCGTCAACATCGGTTATGGGATAGAATATATCTTATGAAAGGGAAAAGAAATTAAGATATTATTATTTTAATAAATAATTATAAATATATAGTTGTTCAAAGTTATTTACAAATATATTACAGTGATTTATGTCTAAATTAGGCATGATTATTTACGTTTAAGTTAGGCGTGACTCGTCTGGTGTTGATTCGCGGCATAAAAAATCAACTTACGAACCATAAAACTTTGAAAAGACATAATTTTTGACTCAGGTTTTCAAATCAGATAACTTTTTTTATTTCACATAATTTTTCGAGATCTACGAAATGACATACCAATTGACATATTTTATCCCTCACAAACACATTTCGAATTTGCAATAATAGTATTATAAAAGTTTTTAAATCCAGAAGGCTCTGAGTTCTGGCTTCGAGATTTAATATAAAAAAATAAATAAATATTTGGTTTGTGATTTAAATTAAAAAAATTAATTTTTTAATATAAAAAATAAATAAAGATTTGGTTTGTGATTTAAATTAAAAAAAAATCTAAAAAATTTATTATTAATAAGGAAAACAAAATAAAGATTTGATTTGTGATTTAAACTCAAAAATTAATTTGAAAAATTTGTATTAATAAAGAAAATAATTAAATAAATATTCTAAATCTCTAAGGAAGAAGGACTTTATTTTTTAAAATCATTCAGAGGCTATAAGCTTTCAACGAATCCATATTTTTGTATATTTTAAATTTTTTATTTATTTCTGTATTTTACAATTCAATATAATTCACGATACACAATACGAAAAATCGGCCAAACGATACACAATACGTATTGCGATTCAATAAACTTGTACACTATTTTTTTTCAAATACTTGGTAGAAAGTATATATTTTAATATGATATTAAGTATCCTTATTTAAAGATGGACTAATCTACTTTGATGCCATCTTTAATTTCAGACCATGACTTAAAAGATAAAGTCTCTATTCACAGTTATGAGAATACAGCCATAGGATAGCGATAAAGAGGTTCTAGTAAGTAGAAGACTGTGTTTGGTGTTGATTTGGAAAGCACTCGGAGGCTTCTAAGTTTAAACGCTCGTATAGTACCATTGTTGCAAATTTGAACTGTGTTTTGTAAGCAATTCATCAGTAATTCATTAATACATGTTCAACAGTAATCAATCAAGAACATGACATAGGATCTTTAGAATTCATGAGTTTCACATAAACATACCTTTGTCCATAATTGCGGAAGATCTTTAACAGTAGAATGCTTTCTCTAAACCTTAACTCTTTCAACGTTCTTGTATCTTCTATGATAGGGATAGGATACAACTTTTCTAGGCAGACTCAGAAGGACGTTTGTTTTTCTATCAGATACCCTTATATGAAAACTGATCATATAAACTATTATATAACTGGCCTATCACAGTTATTTCTAATTAACTTCCCTTAATGGCCAAAACGTCAATTATCATTAATGCGAAACGTTACCATAATGCAAAACGTTAAAACGTCAATTATCATTAATGTGAAACGTCAATTACATTTACATAAAGCCTCTTTTATTATTAATTAAACCAATTCACACACATTACACAACATGATACTTTAATAGGAAGTGTACATTATGTCCAACAATAATGTCTTCAGACCATAATTATTTTCAATATCATCACATATACTTGCATGCATACATAAATGAAAATAAGACAATAACAGAAACATATATTCATCAATGAGCTCAGAGTGTCAACACTTAATACATAACTATAATTTTTATCATTCATTAGCTGACATAATGCCCATTTTACATACATGACCAGTAAATGTCTTGGGCGGTAGTCCCTTCGTCAAGGGATCAGCTAACATAAGATCGGTGCTAATATGCTCTATAGACACTCTATGTTTCTGAACCTATTCTTTAACGACAAAGTACTTTAATTTCATATGTTTAGCACCTTTGGAATAGTTGTCGTTTTTAGAAAAGAAGACTGCTGCGGAATTATCACAATAAATTTTCAGCGGCTTTTCAATATTGTCGACCAATCCAAGCCCTGAAATAAAGTTTCGTAGCCATTTAGCCTGAATCGTGGCTTCAAAGCATGCCACAAATTCAGCTTCCATAATGGACGCAACTATTACAGTCTGCTTCGCACTTTTCCATGATATAGCTCCTTCAGCTAAAAGATACAGGTAACCACATGTAGACTTTCTTGTGTCTACGCATCCTGCAAAATCCGAATCTGTGTATCCAATCACTTCAAGGTTGTTAGACCTTCTATAAGTAAGCATGTGACCTTTAGTTCCTTGCAAATATCTCAGAACTTTCTTTGCAGCTTTCCAATGATCCATACCGGGATTACTTTGGTATCTACCCACATCCCAACTGCAAAGCTAATATCTGGTCTCGTACAAGTCTGAGCATACATTAAACTCCCCAACTAATGATGCATACGGAATTGCTTCCATTTCTTTTCGTTCCAATTCACTTTTAGGACATTGCATGAGACTAAACTTATCTCCTTTCTGAATTGGAATCCTAACCACGAGC